AGAACCAAGCACATTGATGTCAAGTATCACAAGATTAGAGAATTGATTATTTTTGGGGAGATATTGTTGCAGAAGGTTCATACTAATGAGAATGCAGTTGATATGTTGACCAAGCCAGTTACTATCAACAAGTTTTTGCATTGCTTGGACTTGTTGAATGTATGCAGTTGCTAGAGAAACATGGTGGCCCAACCCACTTCTGGTATGAAAGGAACTCCATGACGTATTTCTCGTAAGAGGCTGGATATTCGCCAAGCTGGAGATTTGTTAGATATAGCTCATATACCATAAATGGACAGTGCTAAATCAGCAGCGGAGCAGAGCAGATGATTCTGTCCAAATCAGTGGAGCTTCCTTATGTGGGTTGGGGGTGTGGTACAGGGGTAATTTGGTAATTATATATTGTACCCAAGGTTTCCTTTTTATATAATTTTTAGGGTTATAAATTAGGCTTGTATGTAACCCTAGGGATAATCTCTGAATCCCTGAATTCTGTATTTTTTTCTGAATTAGTCCCTTTTCTGAATATTGAAAGGAACTCGCCGCTCTGCTCTCGAGGACGTAGGCATCTTTGTCGAACCTTGTTAAATCTTTGTGTTCTTCTGGATTTGTGTCGATTACTATTTTCTTCGCCCTAATTTTCTCAACAGGCTTGGACTACTATGTCTGATTGGATAAACAAGCCTTCTAGTCTTTTTTTGGCAGGCACTTCTTAGTTGTATTTTTCCATCTCCTAATTCATTAGATTTTCTCAAGATTCATGCTAAACATTTCTATTGTTCATAGTTTAGTTCTTTGATTCTCTTACTTCTTGAGAGCAATAATTGTGATAAGAATAAGAGAATTAAATACAATAATAATTATCATTTATGTCGTAATTAAAACTTCAATAATTGAACTTTTTAAATTTGCGTGCCCATGATTCTTATCAATAATGCGTGAAGAGGCTTCTTTGATATTTAATATTTACTTTGTGTGTCTTTGTCTGAGTCGGTCGACCTCCAAACATCTTCAGAAATGCACCAATACAAATCTCGAAGAGATCATGAATACCTTAATTCACCAAAAGCATGAAAACCTTAATTCGCCTCCACAAGCCACAAGCATATAAACCCTAATTCACCAACAACATGAAAGCCCTAATGACATCCACGGTCCAAATTTTAAAAGCATAAAAACCCCTTCATAGAAAAGCATTGAAACTATAGAAAAACAAATTCAAGTAGGGAGAAATAAGAACAACACATGAATCTGGCTTTTCTTAGGAGAAGACGAAAATTAGGAAGCAAGACAGTAGACAACAAACCCTTGCAAGCATCAGATTCCAAGAGCAATGAGTAGGGGCGACATGGCACTTGTGGTTGTAATCGAGCTGAGTATATCATAGTTCGAACTTGGCTTAGTATAATTAAAAGTTGTTCATGTTATGCTTGAGCTTGCGTCGAGCTTTCATATATTGTTTAAGCTTGACCTGTTTAAAATTTTCAATCTATGGACTTGTTTTATACTTGATTTGCTTATGACAAATGAACAAGTATTTAAACAAGCTAAAAATTCAAACGAGTAGCTAGATTTTCATATAAAAAATTTAAGAAATAATTTTACAAATTTGATTACAACTATTAATTCTTTGATTATAAAATCTAACCTTATAATATCTTAAATCTTGTTTCTCCTCCATTTTGCCCCAAATCCCTCATTTAAAAGATGTTTATTAAAATAATTTGTGCTGCATTTAAGCATGATTTAACCTAAATCTTACCAAACAAATAAAAAAGACAACTTTAAAACCTACAAAACTTAAATACCATGTATTTATACAATATATATAATACAAGCTATCATCAAACTATCAACAAACAAGTTAATATTCTAGCTAAATAAATTTTATTTAAATAATATATCATATATGATATGTGCTATCATCGAACTTAATATTGAGCATTTAACAAGTTATTTGTTGAACAACAAATAAGTTTGTTCGTGAACATAAATGAACAAGTTCGACTATGTTCATGTTTAGTTCATTTTAAGTTTTGAACTTTTAAAAAATATTAAAGCTTGTTTATTTACTAATTTGAACAAACATGATGGAGTCTTAATCGAGCCGAGGTCGAGTTGTTCATCATGTGCATTGGTTCATTTACAGCACTAGGCGACACGGAAGACAAGCGAATAGCCCTAAGGCCTTACTTACACCCCAAACAAGAAGAAGAAAACTCGTCGAGAAGAAAAGATTCTAGATGATAACTCTGACTGGAAAGAAGAGGAGAAGAGAGAAATAAATAATGAGAGAAGCGTGTGTATGCTTGAGGTGGTGGAAGAAAATAAAAGGGGACCGACTAGGTGAATTTTATTAGGTTTATATATAGTTAAGAGGGTTAGGGCTTTATATTTATG